TTCCTGTCCCCAGCTGAGTCCCATGGAGCGCCTGATCCTTATGGATCTTGCCCATTCTTGCATCTCCATCACCAAGAGCTGAGCCTGAGCATAGTTGGTGCCCAATAAAACTGCATTAAAGAAATGAATTAGAGAGTGAGTGAGTAAATGAGTGAGGGAGGGAGTGGTGAAGGAGAGAATTAAGGTGATTCGACCAGCAAGACCCAGGGCAGAACTGAAAACCAGCACTTCCTGACTCCAAGCCTGCACTGCGGCCATTTGGGCAGTGGTGCCCCTACCTGCTAATCCTAAGAATAACTTGGCTTAAATATGGATTCCCTGGTATCTGCTCCAGAGATTCTGATTCAATAGGACCCAAGCTCTGCACCTCATTAATATGAGTGACTCTTGCATCAGCAAGTTTAAAGAACACTATATTGTATCCCATTGTGTTTTCTTGAATCAGGATGCCAAGATTTGGGGGAAAGAGGCCATTCCTCAAAGTATGCCCCCCACACAGGATTCTGTGAGTGGGTCCAGCCCTGAGAGATCTTGCCCTCTTTCCCAACTCATCAGTAATTGGTTGAGCATTTGCTGAAACCCTCTGATGGGTCAAGCATTGCTGGAGGAGCTAGAAGCATCTCAGTGCACAGAGGAGATGAAGTTCTGATAATAAATGAGAGGTGAGGGTTAAGAGGAGCGATGGGCATCTGTGACGGGGAAGAGCAGGGACAGCACTGAGGATGGAGCAGTCTCACCAGGGAGCAAATTCTGATCTGAGGACAGAAGGATGAAAATGGGCCACTCAGGCAAAGAGCCAGAGGGACTGTGACCTGGGCAAGATCCCCGAGTGAAGGAGAAGCTGCCATGCTTGGGGCAGAGAGGTGGTCATGTGGCTGATGCTCGGGGAGCAAAACAGACTGAAATGAACTCATCTAAAGGTCACCAGGGGTCAGAGCAGCCTGGGCCTGTGAGCCGACCAAGCTATGGGGCTCACAATTCACTCCAAGGATAATGAGGGGCCACTGGAAGTTTTCATCTAAGATCCTTCTAGTGACTGCATGAAAAAGA